GTATTTTGAGAAATGTCAGTACTGTTGTTACACTGGGAGAAACTTGTGGTGGGGTTCACCAAAGGAATGGAAAGACATCCAGAAAAATTCTAGTTAAAATCTCAATATCCATGACTCACTGACGTCAACAAAAGAGCCCTTTTAGAAGTGAGTATAGGGTAGGGATGCGCAGGGTAGGAGTTCTTGTAGAAGATGACAGCTTTGGATCACTGTGCCAAGCTACGTCCTGTTAAATCAATACAGTAATATGCATAAGCACAATTATTAATGTGCAGTAAGCATAGTAACTGGCTTCCAAAGTCTGAGACTCTCAGATCTATAAGGCAAAAATGTCATTCTTCTCTACATGTCACCATGCAGCACACCATAAATAATTCTGGGAGCAAATCAGTTACTTTCCTTCTCTGTCACTAAAATGAATCAAGGCATTAGTGTGGAGAGATGGATTTACAAGATGCAAGGTTGTTCCTTTTCTAGATTATCTGTCCTCAAAGGACCGCAACCTAGAGAGAGGACAAAGGAGTGGGGGAAAGACATCCTACTAACAGCTCACTGCCTCTGGGCCCTTGCTATATTACAAGCTCAAGAGAAAAAAATGCTGTGTCCAGTGAGAACCGTAAAAGAAATAAGCTCAACTATGCGCACAATTCTCTGGCTCCACCAGATTACAGAGAGGAGGGAGTGGTTGTTGGAGCTGAGACTTGTTCAACACTGTTCACTTTTACCCATGGAATGCTGAAGTGATGATGTTAGCTGAATTTGTCAGATTACCTCTTTTCCAATACTAAATGCATCAAAAACCTTTATTAAATAAAAATCATAATAAAAGAAAAAATATCTGATTCTTTCTCCCTCCACATTCCGTTTTTCTGCATTGCCACCAGCCACATGCAGCTGCTTAAATTCCACTTAATTCCAATTAAACAAAATTAAGGGGCTGGAGTTATGGCTCAGTGGCAGAGCACTTGCCTAGCATGTGTGAGACACAGGGTTCGATTCTCAGCACTGCATACAAATAAATAAAAAATAAAGGTCCATCAACAACTAAAAAATTATAAATAAATAAATAAATAAAATTAAATACATTTCCTCCATCACACTGGTCACATTTCAAGTGCTCAACAGCCACACATGGCTAGTGTCTGCTGTACTAGTAATGCATAAAATATGGAGAAACATGGGTAGCATGGAGATGCCATGACAAAGTGCTACAGAAAAGAAGAGCCTCCAAGAAGATTCAATTAAGGATATCACCAAACTTACATTTCAGAAAAGTCCCTCGGGTTGCAAAGAAATGTGGGGACAGAGAACATGGGATCCATGAGAAAGAAGGAACTGCACCACTGGACTGATTTGCATTGCGTGTTTGCTTCACTAGCTAGAGCAAGCTGCAATATTTTAATGGTTTGATACTAAAAGAAGTGAAAAATGTCTCTGGTTAAACATAGTAAGTTTAACTAAGTGGGATCACCACAGGGATTTCAGCTCTGTGACAGAGATGTTCTTCATATGCATCAGGCCATGGCACACCACTACCACCTGGAAGTGGCACTGAGCCAGCTCCTTAAGAGGAAATTAATTAAAAGCCTCTGTAGCATATGAGAAACTGCAAAAAGCAAATGTGTGTTCAGGGATGTATTAGAGAAACAGAGATAGGGAATGTGGATATGAGAGGAAGACAGTGTACTGGAGGGGGCAGGAGAAAATCTGTGAGTGTTTGTGTAGGGAGGGACGTTCTATCGGTCATTTGTCAGATCTAAGTCTGGATGCTCCCATGTCACCACCAATTCACTCAATTCTTTGCAACCAGAGGGACTTTTCTGAAATGCCATCTGGTGATGTTATTATTCTTATTAAAACTTTCCAGTGGCTCTTCTTTTCTGTAGAACTTTGAAACAGCATCTCCATGCTACCCATGTTTCCATGTTTTGTGCTAAAACCAGTACAGTTGCCACTGGCCCCATGTGGCTACTGAACACTTGAAATATGACTAATGTGACAGAGGAAATGAGTTTTTAATTCTATTTAACTGGAATTCAGTGGTTCTGCCAGATTAGGAGAGGTGAGACTGTGAGGAAGCTGGAAGAATCTGAATGATAAGAACTTGTGCTCTGGTCTTCCACAGCATCTCTAGCTCCACATAACCTGGTTGTCTTCCTGCCCAAATCTTCCTCCTGTGCATGACCAAAGGTACCTCAACCCAAGCCAGGAAGGAACCCAGAACATTATCTCTCCCTCTTCCTCAGCCCCCTGGGCCAGAATCTCCACAGCCTGCCTTCACTCCCACCACCCCACAGCCTCTGCAGTGAACATGGCAACACCATGGAGTGATTTCTCCCAGATCTGTTTCTTCCACCCTGCTCTACTGGAGTCCCTATGGATGGGACCTGCTCTCGCTCAGGACCCCAAACTCTACTCAGTGCAATGAGGAAGAAACTCTCTGTTTCTATACTTCTATCAACTTTAGTTTTTCAAACTTGGATTTTTAAGTATGGGCTTGGAAATATTCAAGTGTTCTGTTTGTACTAATTGGAGTTTGAATTGGTGGAAAGTTTACCTTAAATGCTTGAGTGGAGGTGAAATCTAATCCAAACCCCCAAACAGCTGAAAACTGGCAGTCTGCCCAAGCCCAGACGGGCCTTGGGAATCTGCCAACACTGAGGACCCTGCCATTCCATAGATGATGTGTTAATTTTCAACTATGCCACTTTTCTGTCTTAAAAACCAAAACCAAACAACAACAAAAAAGAGAAACAACAATTCCTATATTGACTTGGAGAGATTCTCAAAAATTCAAACAAGCCATTTTTTCCTGAAACCCTCATTAATTCCTGCTTTTCAACCAAATTCTATTTCCCCCACTTCACAGGTAAGAAGATCAGTGGCTGAGTTCACGGATGGTTAGTTTTTGACTAAAACAGTCTCATTTGCCTCATTTCTCAGTTTCTCTAATATCTCTGCTCCTCTCTATCTAAAAAGCTAACAGATTGCAGTTTTTATCATTCTACTTATTTTTTAGATAAACTGATAACCCTACCACAACTCCCAGTCAGAAGGCCATTAATACCATCACAGTATAATCTTCTCTTTGCTCAGTCACGTACACAGTTCAGGAACTGCATTCACACTATGGCATCTTCTTGCCTTTAAAAATGGCTTTTTCATGTGAAGTACACATTGAAGAAAAAAAGTTCAAATGATAACATCTGCCCTAACCTAAAATTTCTAGCAACTGGTGACTACCCGGAATTGATGTTCTGATATTTACCTGTTACCCTTCTAGGATAATATATATCAAAACAAAACATCTCCACACTCTGAACAAACAGAATGGAAAGCATTTTTTAACCCTTGACAGAAATAAAAATGAGGTGGTAGGCAGGTAGTGGGGGCAGTCTGACTGCTCTGTATTCTTCCACACGTTTCCTGTTCCTCCTTGAGGGGGCATCATCCATATGTCATTCTTATCTTCTACTTGCTGGTTCTTTCCTTTCAGTTTATTTCCAATAAAGACAATATATTAAATCTTTACAAGAATCCATAAGTAGAAATAAATATTTCAGGGAGAGCCAAGGAATACAGAGGATAAACTCTTATAGATAAAGAGTACCCCCATGTCACAGATTTAGAAAAATTGAAGCTAAAAACACATGTTCACATCAGGAGAGAGCTAGGATCCAAACTCAAGGCACTCTGGCTCCAAAGTCTGGGACCCAGTGTACAGCACCACGTGGCTCTGCGGAGGGGGAGACTGGTTGCTGCCCTGCTAGGAATGTCCCAGTGGGGCTGTACGCAGGGACTCTTACCTGGTCAGGGTCCTGAGTCTCTACAAAGATATAGCTATATCAAAGTTCCTCTGATTTATTCATTCCCTAAATCCTTTCTTCCAGGGTAGTCTACACATTGGTCTCTTGCTGCCTTCTAAGGTCATTTCCCTAACCTGCTTGATGGAGAGAAACACCTGGAATGTTTGTTAAAAATGAAACTGCTCAGGATGCTGTCCTTTGAGGTTCTGATCTATGGGGTCTGATGTAGTCCCAGAAATGCATATTTTAAACAAGTGCCCTGGGGAAAGTCTTCTCATCAGGTGGGTTTGAGAAATGTTGCTCTAGATGTTTTAGCCAATAGGAACAAACGCCATTGGCTTTAAGTATTATAAATTAAGTCAAAATATTATTAATTAGTGACATTTCTGCAGCTGAATTAATCCAAAGCAAATAGCGCATATGGTACAAATTGTTTGTTTTCTTCCAGTAACGACATGCTAGGTGGGCTGGCATGTCTTTGTGGCTTTTTCTTATTGAGTGATAACTATTAGAGAGAATTCTTTAATGGTGTGCCCTTGAGGGAGTTTCTGCATTGCTCTGGTCATGGAAAAGCTTAAATTAAGTAGAAAGCATGCTGTTTTATACAGTTCTTTTAGGTTCTAAGAGAATTTCAGAGAAGAGGAAATTTTAAAAGGGAGAAAAGAGTACAGAGTTCTTGTTCCTTGAAGGACTCTAAAGTGAATTCTTTAGAGAATTGTGTAACTGAGAGAGAAGGATTTAGGCTTTTCAACTTAAATGTTTATGAATCATATACAGAATGACTTATGAAAACATTTTATAAGGTTGTAGTTCAATTTACATAGTCTATCAGAAGCAGGGATGATCTTTGACACTTATATCAAATGCAAAATTTTGAAACTTGTGATTATTAAAATACTGTTTAGTGTTAATAAAAGATCTCAAATGTGCCTAATTTGCTCTGACACAGTGTTTGCTGCTTGTCACAATGAAGTTTCCACCTGAGGCACTACTCAGAGCGAACTTCAATTACTGTATGTGTGAGTCATTAGGGGAAAAAGAGGAAGATGAAAGCAGAAATAATACTAAAAGACACTCAAAGGGGGAGATAGAAAGCTGTCCTCTCTGCCCTGTGGAATGCCTTGTTTCCAAGGGGGCCGTTGCAAATCAGTGGCAGGGGACTGTTCCCAACTCTTAGGCACAAGACACACATACCTCTTGGTGGGGGTGGGCACTCCAGAGGACATGTGGCTAACCATGGTGTCATTCATATTGGTCAGAGGGCGAGGAGGGCTGAAAGAAAACACATTTAGGTTTATGTTAATAGTTACCAACACAACTAGTGAAACAAGAATGACAAGGGCAAAGGAACCAATTATCCCTGCTGACAGGCACAGTGGCACCATGGAAAGAGAGACCTCCAGCCTACATAAATCCATCAAGAAGGGGTTCTCTCTTGCAAGGCCATAGGGCTGTAGGGCTACAAAGTACCTGGGGAACAACAAAATATACCACCACCACAACCAGTGGAACCTCAGTGGGTTTTGCTTGTGGTTTTAGTGCACAAGGATGTGAAGTCTGCTACTTAATTTTGATTAATTTCTCTACATGTTATGTAGAGGACTGCCAAGTGTTTGGCAAGTGTATCACAAAGTTCTCGACATTGAGGCATGGACTTTTCTTGAGATTTGTTTACAGCTCACTGTTCTCCCTCACACTTAGTTTGCAAACTCTATTATGTAAACAATTAAGTGGTTAAACACAAAATTTAAAAATAAGACTCTGAAGCAAAGTTTTATTAATCCTGTACTAGAATCTTAATAATCCAAATTTTATACCTATCCTTCAATTAGAACGCTGTCTTTTGTAACCTACTCAAATTTAAAGGTAAAAGCAAGCATTTTTATAATTTGTCTTCCGGGGTTGGATTTCTATACTCAAATCCCATTCCTTCCTCTTGTGAAAGTGCAGAGTGAATGAATCCAGACTTATCAAAAAGAGTCTGTCATCGAAAACTTCAGGCCACTCCAATGCTTCTCCCTCTCTAGGGGCACAGCTACAAAAGGTTTCTGTCTTGCATCTGGAACATGACAACTACTTTCTTCTTGGGAAATCTGTCAGTTTCACTCCTAAACTGAATGAAGTACTTCACAGAAAGACTAGTCCCTCAAAACAGGAAAGTGAAGCCAAAAAGTCCTCTTATGTAGGTGCTGATTTCTCCTTACTTTTGAGAGACGTGCTGATTAGTATACTGCTCTTGGAGGCTATACTAGTGAGTGTTAAAGGATGTCAGCTGGGGCTGGGGCTGGGGTGGTGGCTCAGTGGTAGTGCGCTCGCCTAGCAGGCATGAGGCACTGGGTTCAATCCTCAGCACCACATAAAAGCAAACTGATGTATTCACCTAAAACTAAAGATACATAGTAAATAAATATTTTAAATAAAATAAAAGATGTCACCTATTGTTTTGCATGTTTTCTACTACATTCAAATAAAGACTCAGGGAAATACTTCAGGGAGAGCCAAGGAACTCAGGGTATAAAGAGGAGTTTCTCTCTCTCCATCTACCATGCACTCCTATTTTCTAAAAAAAAATTACATTTCTGGGTAGGGAGACTTTTAAAAAAATGACATCCCATTTAACAGAGAGGATCCAAAATGGAAAGCAATTTGCAGAGAACAGATTGAGGTCTCTTGATTTTTAAGCCACAGTACCATGCTTATTGTTCTACATTGCTTCCCTTGGGTGACAAGTCCCTAAGTAAGACATTCAGAACAGAAATATGCCTTCCTGGCTAGAGTTCAATTCCCAACTATTTGACTGCCCGTCATTCAGACAGATACCCAAACTTTCAAGCCTATTTATGTTGTGAGTTATAATCAACACATCAATTGTTTTAGGTTGACTAATGATGGAAGAGAAAACAGAGATTAGCTTACTTTTAGTTCTAAATTTCTAATTTTGCCTCTGGTTCTTTTAAATCAATTGTCCAGCTGAATCAAGGAGAAAATTCCTATGAAGTAACAAATTCAGCAGAACAGCTTTTCACACTTAAGGGCACTAGAAATTTTCTGGTCTTGAAATAGAATGGCTTTGCTTCTTTAGTACATTATTATTAGCAATCCATTTCCAAAATAAGATAAGAACACTCTCATGTTGCTTTCAGAACTAACACAGTTATCCAGATCATTTCAATATTATGGACACTACTGTATTCAATTTCCTTTCTGATATCCTCAGAGAAATATGACAATAGAATTTTTTTAAATTCCTTTAACATGGATCCACATGATAAAATTTTATGATTTGTAGCATTCTGTTTCATCTGATGTTACAAGTCTTTATAATCACCTCCATCTCAGCAAATATAATGTTCAACTATCATTTTAACACACAGAGAAGCCTCTTCTCTAATATTCAATACTAGGCAGTAATGATTACATTGTAGTCTGTAAACTCAGCAGAACTTCCTTCACGCGGCATAACCTTTCTTGACTTCTAATATGTTTTGCTAGAGATAAGTTTGTGTTTGCAAACCAAAATGGAAGTGGCCTTTGCAAACATCAAGGTCTTTAGTATAGTATCTTCTCCAGAGCCACAGTTTACAAGAAAAACCAACAGCTCCAATGCATTCTTAGAAGATGCAATACACCGAAAAGGATTTCAGGCTTAAAACAAAAAAATCTTCATGAAGACATAGTTGAAAACATCTTCATGTCCAATGAGCTGGGCACATGCATGCCTGTAATCCCAAGCAGCTCAGGAGGCTGAGGCAGAAGGATTGTGAATTCAAAGCCAGCCTCAGTAACTTAGCCAGGCAACTCGGAAAGACCCTGTCTCTAAATAAAATGTAAAATAGGGCTGGGGATGTGGCTCGGTGGTTAAGTGCCCTGTGTTCAATCCCTGATACCAAAAAGAAAAAAAAGAATATATAATGAAATAGCCATTAATAATATAAGTTATGGAAACTTATAAGACAGTAGAATTGGCAAAATCAGATGGGTTTTTTGATCTTTAATACTAAAACCCAGCTGAATACTCCGAACACATCACTAGCTGGTCCATGTCCTCCTTTAGTGTTACTTTTAGACAGTAACAAGTTCCATCTATGAATTCCACACTACAAAAAGGCTACCATAGTTTGGGAGGCTCCTTCTTTGTTAAAAAGATATGTTTTGTTTTTTAAAAAATAGGGCATAAAAGCAGATGGGTGAATAGGTAGAAGGTGGTAAGTAACTCACTAGTCACAAGAGGTGGCTTTTAAAAGGCTTGGAGAGGGGCTGGGGATATAGCTCAGTTGGTAAAGTGCTTGCTTCTTAGTCAAAGGATAAGAAACACACTTCCTGAAAGCCTGTGCAAGATAAGAAAGACCTTTATCTCAGTGAACTAACTATACAGATATGGAGACAGATCTGCAAACAAATAATTACAATGCCCAAGAGTGAGTGCAGGGGAGCAAGCACAGGCAGAATCCTGAAGAGCCACAGTTTACAGGGAAAGCCAGTACCTGCAATGCATTCTTAGAAGACGTAATACACCAAAAACGATTTCAGGCTTAAAAGAAAAGAAATCTTCATGAAGACATAGTTGAAACGTTTTCATGTCCAATGAGCTGTGAACATATTGCCTGGAGAAATGAGGGGGAGTCAGGGAAGGTCCCCAGAGGTGAAGTAATGGGGAGTTTTCCAGATGCAGAAAAAAGCTAAGTGACCCGAGATGGAAATGGTATGTAAAAAGGCACAGAAATACAAAAGTGCACGGCACACTGGGTCTAACTCACTCGATAAGACTCAAAGGGCCTGAAGGGGGTAAGTGAAAATGCACCTGGAAAGGTGGTGATAGCCAGGCTTATTCTCTCATGAGCTAAGACAGCTAGACTTTATATTAGAGGGCGAGGGGGAAGAATTGAATGTTTTTAATCTAAAGAATGATATGATTATAGTTGAGTTTTTAAAAATATAATTATAGGAGTTGTGGGATACTGGTTTTTATAAGGGTTATGCACAAAAATCATCTGGGAAGCGTTTTATAAAGCAAGATGCCCAAACTCTACCCTCAGTTTAGCAGGTCTGAAGCTTTAGAGGCAAGGGCAGTCTTTCTAAAGCACTTCCAACTAAAAATCATTAAGTAGGGTGGATTTGGAAGGAGGAGGGAATGGAAGCTATGAGACCAGGTAAGGTCTTATGGCAAATGTCCAGACTAGGGCTTATGAGGGTGGACAGTGGTAGTGAAATGGGGTAGAGACAAAAGGAAAGATATTGCTGGAGTCAGACAGACATAAGACATGGTGACTGCATAAGAATACAGGGTTAGGGAGTGAAGAATAATGGAATTTTTACCTGGCTGCGGGGGAGGTAGAGGTATCAATATCTGAACTAGGTAGTGGACACAGAATAAGCAGGAAGGTAAGGGTGAACAGGATTTTAGCTGTGAAACTGTAGACTCTCTAGTGCCACTGACAAACACAGGTAACTGGATGTCTAGAAAGCAGATGGAAATAGGAGAATGAAAACTAGGTGAAACGTCAATTTGAAAATATTAGAGTATCTTAAATGCTACCAATTCTTTGAGTACTATGAACACTAGAGAGGCACATCTTTATTTATTGTTTCTAGGTGGGACAGGATAGGTTTGGGAAGGTGACTTAGATAACAGATACAAAGCTTCCGGTTATTGGGAAGACCCCTCTCTCCTATAAAGTGAAAATTTAGTTTACTGGCACAAACCATTTTCATGTAGTTCTCTGCTACGTTTATGTCTCCTCTAAAATTCATGTTAAAATTTAACTGCCATCAAGGTGTCTGAAGAGGAGGTCCCCTCAAGCAGTGATTAATGCCATCACGGCAGGAGTGGGTTAGCATGGTGGGAGTGGGTTGACAAGAGGGTGGGCCCCACTCTTGCACTGGTGCTTGAACCTTCCACCAGGGGATGACACTCGAGGGCCTTTGCCAGCGGCTGGCACTGTGCTCTGACTTCCCAGCCTCCAGAACCCTAAAACAAACACACTTTTATTTTTGATGCATTACACAGTCTCAGATATTCTGTTATATAACAACATCAAAGAGACGAAGGCACTCTCTTAGGACTACACTATTGAAATTCATTCTGGTGGATGTTCTGGAATATACAATAATTCTAAATAAAATTTTCCACAAAATCTCTCTTAAGGTTTTAAAATTCGAATCTAAGACTAGATGATAAATAACTTGTGCCTTTAAAGATCTTCCAGAACAAAGGGTTGGGGATGTAGCTCAGTGGTAGAGCACTTGCTGAGTACATGTGAGGCCCTGAGTTC